AATTTAGATTGAAAAATAAATCAATTTTATACAGTTTTCTAAGAGCACCAGTCACAATCTGAGTATATATATATACCAGTATATACATATGTAATTTGATAACCATTTGATCGACAACAGAATAGGAGTATGTAACACCAATACCCTCCGTAGCGAAAAAAGAAGCTGAAAGAAAGAAATTTGCCTGAAAGTTCATATTTCAAATTTAGATTGAAAAAGAAATCAGTTTTATGGAACAGAATGGGAGTCTATAATACCAATAATAACGAAAAAAGAAGCTGAAAGAAAGAAGATATTTGCCTGAAATTTCGACCTTTAACACTTAACTTCTTGGCAGATATTATTAGTTGTTATCATTATGTTATATTACCATTATCATATGTTATTATTAGTTCAAAATTCAAATTTAGATTGAAAAAGAAATCAATTTAATGCAGATTTCTAATCTGAGTATATATATATACCAGTATATACTTATGTAATTTAAAAACCACGTAAAAACAGATTGGGAGTCTATAATACCAATAATATCGAAAAAAGAAGCTGAAAGAAAGAAGAAATTTGCCTGAAAGTTCGCCCTTTAACACTTAACTTCTTTCAATTTATAACAAAATGCAACCTAATATTGCAGTGTAGTTTTATAAATATACTTTTTACGATCATTGTAGTATAGAGCGACGAGCAGCTAATGCGGCGAGCAAAACTTTGTCGTCAATAAATATACGTAGCATACTAACCAGCGTCCATAAGTTGCGCCTCGGCTTTGTGGTGTGCATGTATTAGTGTGTGTTTATTGTGTGCTGTGCCCGCCCGCGTTCGTGTGCGGCTTTATTTATTGATTTTCCATCAGCGTGCGCTGAAGTGTTTAACTATGTGCTAATATTTATTAAAAACGTAACGGCACGTAACGTAAATGGCACGTAAACACCAACAACAACAGCGTGAAGCGCGTTGCTCTAAATTATGACAATGAAAGGCGCCAACACACACACACACAGACACACACACAGATGGACAGAAACATGTTGTTAACAACAAGCAACAGCGAAGTAATGTGCAGCAAGGACGAGTCTGTGTTTCTGTGATGCTGCGGTCCTTTGGCTCTATGGCTGTTGCTGCCTTTTATTGGCGCTTCGGCGAACACGATCTGCTTGTTGGGCGCAACACACTGCGTATGATTAATCTCATTTGCCACACACTACACCCGCACACACACATATGTGGAGCGTCTTTTGTTTGCGACGCTTTGTTGGTTTGTCCAGCCATGAAAAATGATTTGCCTTTGTTTGCCTTAGCATTTAGTTGGCTCGGCCCGCTTTTCGCATAATTTATTACCCAGTTTTCTCCAGCCAGCCAAAATTTCCAACTCCCACTTAACCCATTAAAACAACTCAATTAACATTTGACATAATATGCGGTTTGTTTTTTAAGTTCTTTTATTCTGAGTTTCTCGATTTTCCTTCAACTTCCTGCGCTTTAAATTCTTACATTTTTAAAAGATGTTTCCTTTTTTGTTTTTTTTATTTAATCGCTTTGATTTTTTTGTTTTTGTATTTAATTGAAAGTTACTTTCAAATTTTTGTTTTGTTTTTTTTCGTATTCGTTTAGCTTTAATAACATCGTTTAATTCAATTTCCATTTGTTTGTTTTTGGTTTTTTGTTTTAATAAATAAACTATATGTATGTATGTATATATATATAGCATTCTTTATATTATAATATTATTATAAATACACATTTACATATATATATTTACGTCAGTTTTATGCATTTCTTAAAGATGATTTGCGTTTTTTTAGTATTTTAAGAATTTTTCACGTTTTCTTCGCCAGATTCGTTGGCTTTTCTTACGCTCTGCGACTTTTTTTATTGTAATGCCTAAGAGTCTGTGAAGATGTGTGTGTTTTCTTACTTTACTTGAAAGTGTATGTAGGTGTGTTAAAAGAAGAAGAAGAAGAGAATACTTGGTAATAGAAATGATTGGAAAATATTCAGTTTTTAAAGAGTTAAACAATTCAAATAAGAACTTGCAAAACCATTGGCTCTGAAAAATGCATTTAAAGAGGTTTGAAATGACATTTGACATCAAAAAATGTTCGCAAAATTGCGAAAATATATAAAACCTACTCAGAGGGTTTCAAAAATAGTAGATAAGTATTTAAATGCCTGTTTTCTAACAGAAGTTTAAAAGTTGAAATGACGCCCCAAAAAATGACTAAAAACTTGAAGGCCTATTAGAACGCTACAAAAAAAAATAGACGAAAAGTATTTAAACAAAGTTGATTGTATTTTCTGATTAAAACATTTGCTTCATTTAAAAAAAAATCAAAATAGTTGCAGCCAGTGATTGAAATATCCATTGTTGATCAATGAAATCATTTGTGTATACGAGTATGTATGTCTGTGTATGATTCTATGGGAAATCTAATTGAAACAGCATTTCGCATTCAACTCGATTTCAATAGCTGTTGGCATTTATTTAATTCTGTTTGATGGTTGTTTTCTTATTATTTTTCGCATTATTTGTATCGTGATTACTGAAACTTTTATATTTGGTTTCTATCAATAATTTGTTCAACATTTGTTTATTTAGGGTTTTCTTTTCTCAATTACTTTATTAGCTAAACACTGGAAACGAATTGTTTTCCTCTTTTATTTTCTGTATATTTATATGCACGGATTCTTATGCTATGGGAAGTGAAAAGAGAAAGGAAAGTGAAGTGAAGTGTAGAAATGGGCTTTCAAACACACTTTAGTTAAAAAAAAAATAGTAAAAAGCTTTGATTTGTTTTTGAAAAAGCCACAAAAGTTCAGCGAAATTATTGTTTGCAACAGTACTTTCAATTTTTTACAATATTTTGCAATTGTTTTTCGAAAATTTCGTAATTTTTTTTCAGTTTGAATAATTTTATATGTTTTGAAAACTTTGCTCATTTAAGAGCACAGATACTTAACTTGAAAGTCAGCTCCAGAAGAATTATGTTATATAAAATATATCGGAAAACATTTATAAATAAATTCAATATCGGACGTCCTTTTCAATTTTATCCTTCAAAAAATAGAAAGTAAAGTTTAATCCGTCAAACAACTGTCATTGAATCTTAATCCGGACTCTAAAGAATATTAGTTGTTTTTTTTATTTTAAATTTATTTGTTTGCTTTTTGAAATTCCGAATTGAAAGATTTGTAAGCTTTTTGAAGAATATTTAAAATATTTGAAACAAGTAAGCCGGACACTAAAGACTTCTGTCAGTCGAAAATTGTTTAGGAATTTTAGTGAGTTATTGTTATTTAGCCCAACACTTATCCTACAGATCTTACAGATACCGAAATGGTAGCGTTGTATGCTTTTTCAACAATTTTAAAACACTCAAAGGAAATAATTGGCTTATTTTTACACTGAAACTGATTCAAATACTTGCCTTATGTATTGCAGTATTGGATGCATAGCAACTATGTGATTTAATCAATAATGAATTAGTTGCGAAATTAAGCTTAACACCGAGAACTTACCTTTACGCATAGTCGCATCAATTGTTTTAAAAATAAGCTGCGTTCGCACAGGCAAATATTTGTGTGTCCAAGGCTTTACTGTAATTATTGCAAGAATTTCTCTCAACTCTGACAACTCTGACAACAGCAATTGTTTGAGACATATCATGATGATAATCTTTTCAGGTAGTTCTTTACACATTTGTGCACCAAATATTTGCCTGTCGGACCGTCCCTTTAATGCAGTTCTTTCAAAAAGACTTACCATTGCGTAAAGTATCATAGAAACAAGCTCTGGTCAGAATAATTTGCACGCATACTATATTTGATGAATTCGTAGTTTTTTTGCCAAACTTTTATTTGCAAAAGTATCAATTTATAATGTGAGCAAATTATTTTCCTGTGTGACCGCTGCTTTAATGGAGTTCTTGCAAGAATTGTATGAAGCTGAAACTGAGGTCAGACTAGCAAATAATTTACACAGACTTTTTCTTGATTTTAAGCTTTTCGTTCATTTCTAAATGTTGTACGAATTATTTGCCCATCTGACCGCTGCTTTTTTCAGTTCTTGCAAACATCTTTTAATACTTGTAATTTTGTAATAATTATTTGATTTCAACACTTGTCTAATATTCTCCTTATTGTATTCTGTTTCGATTTGTTTTCAATTATTAACAACAAATAAATTTTGAACTGCCGTGCAACGTTGCCGCACTCCGCCAACTTCTGCAGCCAATTTAGTCATGCCTTGCACTTCAATTAAGCTAAGGTTTACACGCAAACATTTTGTACACACACATACAGCTATGAATGAATTGTTGAAAACAAAAACAACATGACTTAAGCTTAGCTATTATTATAATATATTTGTATATGTGTTATTTTTATGACTAAATGCTACCACTTTAGACGCTGCCATAACAAAACTTTACTTTATTCTGCTGTGTTGAACATTTTTTGTTTATTCTCTTTGTTTTTTTTTGCTGTTTGTTTTCTGCTGTTTTGACTCTGCTTGAACTTTTTAGCTAAACTTTTTGTTTTCGTAGGTACGCTTAAGTTTAAGTTTTGTCTGCTTATAATGATTTTTAATTTTTGTTATTTGATTTTTTTTACAGGGTCTGTGTCTGTGTTTGTTTTGGTAATTTTATATAAATTTCTTGCTCTATTTTAATTTGTTTATATGCCATAGTCAGTACTTGAAATTTGTTGCGCAGTTAAAGTTGAACATTCTTCTACTTTTTTCCCCATTTTTCTTAATCTGTTTTGAGTTTTCCATTTATCTTTTGAATTTATTCACGCATAATAAAATTTACAAAATGCAAACATTTCCTGTTGTTGCATAGTTGTGATGTTATTTTTTTTTTTTTGCATTTAGAATGTTTGTATGTATGGCTGTGTATATATTTTTATAAATAGGTCTAGTTATATAGTTACAGTAGTGGCGAGTCTAGAAAGCAGAACAGTTGGTTGGTTGGTTGCAGTTGTTTTTACATTTAATTTTGGTTTGTTTTGAGCAGTGTTCGGTTTTTAGTTGCATTTAGAAAAGTCCGTTTCAAAAAAAAAAACAAAGTTGTAGCACAAAAGTGCTTGGAAATTCTTCGAAAAATTCCATTGAACATCAACTTAGCTGGACAAACTTTTCTCCCATTTGTTGGGAGGAAGTAGAAAAAAGAACTCAATTCATTTTAGCTCTTTGTTCAAGCACTTTAAATAGTGAGTGTTTCTCTTCAGTTAGTTAGTCAGTATGCTATGCAGCCTATATACAAGTGTCTAATTTACATAGCAATTATGTATATATAAAAGATAAAAATCGAAACTAGTGGAACTTAGACAACAGCTTGCTTGTATAATACAAAAACGTACGACAACTTAAATGCTTTCGTTTTGTGCTAAATATTACGTATACGTCGCTGATTCAGAGATTTTTGAAAAAAACCGAATAGCCAGTTATATATGTATATTATCATAACTAATATATTTGTATATATAAATGTACGATAGTTACACTCTTAGCACAACTTATGTATGTATGTATGTATGTGTGTCGTGTGTCGTGTGTATGTTTAGCTTGCGTTTATTATGTATTTAATTTTTATATAATATTTCAATATATAGTTCATTAGTCTAGAGTTTGTGAGCGGCATAGCTAAGCGCTCACCTTATATCCGTCTCATATACTTGCCTTAACGTCACTGATTGTTGTTGTGGGCCACGCCCACAGCCCACTGTCCTCGCCTGTCGCATCTGTCGCCTCTGTCGCCATCTCGCCACCAGCAGCGAGCAGCAGTGGCACGACAACGACATCAGACTCAGAATGCATTCGAGGAAATGTCGCATGGCTCGAAGCGTTCCGGCGACGCCTGACGTCCGGTGTTGCAAGGCCCTGAGGAGGGCCGCATACAGCGTTTGGCATACGCTAAACTGCAAAAGCACACTAACAGGTACACTAAAACATAACGGGCTGACGACATGTGAGGCTGAGCTTGTGCCGCGTGCTGCATTGCTGCTGGGAACTCCCCTGGAAACGGAATGAGAAACACCTGTTTAATTTACATCTTTATTGCTGTCCTCATACACAGGCATTGGGTTCAAAAAATCAACAAAAAATATTAGTGTGTTTATATAGTGTTTTCATTATTTAATTGTCGTCGTCAGCAGTTCAAGTATTCCAGTCTCCCATTTTCAGTCAATTACATAGTTTCGTTGTTGGAATAATTAATTTATTTTAATAAATAGTTATGAATCGATTACAAACCTAACTAGGCGGAGCTTTTAGCATCGAAAACTGTGGCCGTTTCATAATAAAATTTCCGATTAGTCACCACAGTTACAAAATGTTCTGAAGGCACTGCAACTTATTAGGAATATTGAACACAGAATTTAAAAAAGTACCTAAGACGTGAGCTAAAAAACGACCAAATGTCTTTCAAAAATTATATTCACAGTTGATAAATAATATTGATACAAAAAAGTTATCAAGATGGCCACATTTCAATGTCAAATCACATTCAAATTAATGCCAAGAGCCATTATTGTACAAAAATTTATGAAAACTTTCCATTTCGTGAGCTAATATTATTTCATCCTTTTCCCATGATCTGCTTGTTTGTTTCAACTTATTCAACTAAAACTAACTGTGTTTTCTTTCAAACATTAAATAAATCAAAGCGCTCAAGTCACATTCACTTCTCGGATTTAAGAAACACAATAGCTTTCAATTATGCAAAACAAAAGTAACTTTCAGTTTTCGGTATTCATTTTGCAATTTCCAATGAACTTTTGTTCTCTTTTTACGCCTGCATAAGTGATTATCATATAAATCGACACATAATACCGCATAATCCCTAAACTAACAGGATTACTTCACTTACACACTCCAAATACTTGGCTTGAGCGACCAGGTTACAAAGACTTCTTTATTCGCCTTGAAGTCAAGGCAACCGAGACGCTGTCAAACAATAAAACTCTAGTGAGGAAAAAAGTCAAACCAGCAACAACAACAGAAAGACAGCCAAGAGCTGTGTAATATGAAACAGAGCTTGAAACTAGAAACAAACAGTAGAGGCGCTTCTGGCAGGACATACGCGTCCTTAGAGCTGCCAGCGGGAGCAGGTGTTGATGGTCTGATGACAGCGAAGCTTACAGTGGTGTGTTTCGCACTAATTCTGCACCAAAATCAAAGCCAAAGCTGCTTTTCTGCAACTCCTGAATGACGTTTCTAAACGAACTCGCATGCTTATAGCAGAAGTGCGAATATGTGGTGGTTGGGTCCTCCATTTTACGTGTTGATGCGGAAAGGACAGACGCAACTTATTTATTTGATAAATCGGCTTAAGTTGTTGCCAGCCAATAAAACAGAGGGTTTGCAGAAAAATATAAGTAAATACATTTCAAGGCTGAATTATATTGGATTGGCTCAATTGCCAGAAATAAAAAGGTTGGAAAGGTGCTTGACATTTGAAGAAAATTCAGTTTTTAATACGAAATATAAGTGCATTAAAAATGATTGAATTTAACAGTCAACCAACAATATCTATGCACTGTTCTTAAGATCAAATAAATATAGTTGTATGTTTTGTGGGTTCTGCCACAACTCGTTCCATATCTTATTATATTATCATATTATTCACACTAACTTAAGTAATAGATCATTTTACTTAATGCTTACATAATTATATACAATTTATAGTTATACTAACAAATACATTTACAAATTTAGTCTAAAATACTTAGGCAGAGAATTAGCTACGAAATATAATTCAATTATATTGAAATTGGATTACAAATATTTTACTAGGTATATTAAATTGAATATATCATTTCTGTTTAATTAATATTATAATTTTTACAAATCAGTAAATCAATTAATGAATTTTTAATTTTTTTTTTTATGTATAAAGAAAAGGAACGGTTTTATTTAATGAATTAATTTAATTTAATTCCACTAGGAAATAATTAAATACTAAATATAGCATCCATTAACAAATATTTTAGTTTGTTAATATTTTAATATAGTATTTTTTAAAACTAATAATAATTAAAATTTGTATATTTAAAAGCTAAAAAACTTTTATAGAATTCTTGAAGCCGTGTCAAGCCTCAACCATATTCTGTGCAAAGGCTAGTTTTGTGTCCTGCCCATCACTATTTTGCTAGCAACGCCAACTTGAAATTTAGCCACTGTTCCCCCCTTTTCTGTATCTATGTTTTTAGTTTTGAACCAAAGCTGCTTGGCGGAAAACTCAGAATTGAAATGCAGCCAAACAAGAACACCATCGTTCGGAATCCATTCACTGGCGTGTTCAATGCGAGTGTATTTAACTGCTCGCGTGTGTTCGTGTATTCGTGTGTTTGTGTGCAAATAACAGGTAACAATGAACAATAAAAACATAGTAATGCAAAGAGCATACTAGGAAGACAAAGTAAGTACCCTACTCTAGTAGTGGCGTGAAAACAAGCCAGGGCTTGAACGAAAGGTGTGAGTGAAAAACTTTCTACGACACGATGACAACAATGGCTAAACAAAAACAAAAACAACAACAACGACAGCAACAAAGACAATGCTGACGGGTATAATAATAATAACAAACAAAATACAAGTACAACAATGGCAACAGCAACAACGCAGCTGCGACTACACTGGAGATGAGACAAAACATAATAATAATCAGAAACAAGTGTGCCAAAGCAGTTAACGGAAACAACGCGCAATGCATGCGCAATATGGCGGCACACCTAGTCCCACACACAATGTGTGTGTGTGTGTGAGTGTGTGCGTAAGAGTGCATGACTGGGGAAAGCTAAGGCTGACATTATCTAGCAGGCATGACAATGAGAACGTGCCAACCAATAACACCACACCGCTCGGCAGCGCACAGTAGTTCAAATAACAAATCCCCAATTACTGGAATTCTATCACATTTTGAAATCATCCATAACTTATAGTAGCACCCATAAAGTCCATCGGCCAGTAATAGCAATCATAGAACAGCTATGTTTTGTAATTAAACTAAAGTTGTCATCTGTTAAATCTTTTAGAAACCTATCGTTCTATCATATCTTACATTTTTAAATGACATTAATAAATAGAATAATTTTTAATAATATTATATTATACTTTGTAATCGATAATTATATATGTATATCTATATTAATTTATTTTATTCAAGTCGCAAAGATATTTAATTTACTATCATTTAATAAGCCATTTTTAGAAATCTAAGCTACATCTTAGACAACGGATGTTTCGTTTATTAAGGTAACGTATATTTTTAGGAAGTGTATTAGTATGTGAAAAGAAGTCATGTGTTGTTAACTTATGTGTAGACATCTGATTTCAAATTCATCTAACGTGTAATTGTAAACATCTGATATTCAAACATCTCGCGTGTAGACATATGAAGTGTATTTATCTGTGTGTAGACTTCTGAACTGTAATCATTTGAAGCGCACTCATCTGATGCGTACACATCTGATGTGCAGGCATCTTACATGTAGACATCTGATGTATAGACAGCTGACTTGTAAATATAGATATTTCTATAAATGTCATGACATCTGATTTGAATTTCATCTGACGTCGAATTGTAGACTTCTGAAGTGCAAACATCTGTCATGAAAACATCTGACGTGTAGACATACATATGAAGTGTATTTATGTGTATGTAGACTTATGAACTGTAATCATCTGAATTGCATTCATCTGACGTGTTAACATCTGATGCGTAGAGATCTGATGTGCAGGCATCTTATGTGTAGACAGCCGACTTATAAATATAGATATTTCCCGTGTAGATATCTGGCATGTATACATCTAAAATGTAAACATATGATGCGTGAACATCTGAGGTGTGGAAATCTGATTTGAATTTTATCTGACGTCTACTTGTAGACTTCTGAAGTGCAAACATCTGACATGTAGAGATATGGCGTGCATTTGTCTGGTGTATTAACATCTCTGATGTCAGATCAGATGTTTTCATTTTGATGTGTGGATACGCTATAAAATAATCTTGCACCTATAGCAATCAATTTTATGCCGTCATATTCACAATTTCAACCACTGTGCAGCGACGACTTGACATTAGCGAAAGTCGCAAAGGAAGTGGCATGCAGTACTCGTATTTAAGTTGACTAGATGGCTATGATGGTATGTGGATGTTGGATAGTGGGTGGTAAAGCAAAATAAACATAATTTTCATGCGCCAAGCGTGCAGACACTGCAGTCAAAAGCACACACACACACACACACACACACACACACATGCACACCTCTACCCCCACCCCCTAACCTCACACTAGGAGCGTTTATGAAACTGTCGCCCTCGGCTGTTATTCCCGACTGTGCAAATGATTGGCGACAAAACGCAAAGCATTTGACTAGAGGGGGCAACAAGAATGGGGGGAAGGGGGCGCAATAGTGAGAGAAGTGGGCGTAAGAGTCGTTTATGGCGTTAGTGCGCATAATGATTACCGACACACTCGAAATTCGTGGGCGTGTCATTCCCCTTTAATTTTTACGTGCCACTCGTGCAGTAATCGCTTACAGGCGGATTTAAGCTTCCCAATCTATTCAGTCTGTCTTTATCGCTTGGCATATTTACCCGCCATTAACACGCTCTTACCTTATTTGCAGTGCTTTGCTTGGCATTTTCTCATTTCCACCCAATGCCTTCGGTTTTTAACTGACACTCTTTTTGTCTTTGAAGCCGCTGGTCCAAATAATTCCATTACATATCGCACGCTTTGAAGCTACTTTTGTGTACTTTTCTCTGCTCTTTTCGCCCTGATTCTTATGTGTCAGCGCTTTTGTTACCCACACCTGTATTTTTATGGCTGCCATTACCCGATTGTACAATCAATGAAGCACGACATGTACATCACTGTTTAAAATATTGATAAGATCCATGAATCCTAGTCCGGCTTTAAGAAACTCCAGGAGTAGACTTTTCGAGCTCTTTTTTATGGATTTCTCTTTGAGAACGTTAACTCACAAATAGACTTTCCCTATATTAGAGGATTCGAATAACGTCGCTTTAAAAATAATCATGCAGGTGCGCGATCTAAGCAACTTAAAATCTAATAGTTCTTCATCGGTAGAAATCGTAGGTCGACTCTGGTTTGTAACTTATTATGAGCCTTTCAAGTTGCAGGACTCATGAAGTCTTGGTCCTGGTGTGCGAATCAGCTGCTTAGTTGTTCTTGGTTTACTACTTAAAAGGGTTTCGATATCTTATAAAATCAACTGTTCTGTTCGTCTTCGAAAGCTATGTGTATAGATGTCTCTCCATCAGCGCTTTCACTCCACTGTATACTTTTATTTAGACTTGAAGCATCAACATGTAAGACGTGTGCGAATTGCATTTTTAGACTAAATGATGGGCTTCTTCTTAACCTTTTACTTAAGACCTAAGCTCGGCATTTGGTCATTAATTTTCATCTAAAAGCAAATAACTTTAATAACTTATTTACTAATCATTCTTATTAAACTACTTAGCTATTACAGAAACAGTAATAAAATCGCAGCTAGCCACTAATTATGTTCCTCTTCTACACAGTCTTAGTATGAAATAGGTGTTTTTCCTCATTATTAATTTGCTGCCCCCACTCCTAAAGACTTTTGCCTACACATTTGTAAGCAATTGTCATCTTTAGTTCGCTTTAATTAATTTGCTTTACGCAGCGATGGCAAGTTAATTATATTTACTTATTTATCTGCCACAAATAATTCATGATTTGAAGTTCATAAGCAACTGGCACTTCAGCTCTTTTGTGGCATTATAACCTTCCTTTTACACTCATTACACTTAACTAATGAGCAGACCGCAAGTGCTACTTCCAGAAGCACTCATACACCGTCCTTCTTCTCACTTGTTTCTTCATTTCCCCTTTGTTCCCCACTGTCAATCTCTTTGGCTTATTGCCACACTCGGCTGTCCGTCGCGCTGTCTGCCACTCATTTCCCCACTTCCTGCAGCACGTTGTGTTTTTGCGCAATTTTTGTTCATTTTCATATTGTCTGTCTTTTGTTCCGTTCGGTTTCGTTTCGTTCTACTCTGTTTTGTCGTTGATTTTACTTACCATTCAGCACGTGTACCGTTACGCTTTTCGGCTTTGAATTTGATGGATTACATTGATAATGCCCGGAGTCTGATGGACGCGCTGATTTAATCAGGAGGAATGATGTTGTGGTCTCACCTTTATTGGTGACAACCGAGACGCCACCGCGTGGCGAGTCGTAGTTGATAATCTGCGAAAAAGAAAGAAAACATACGGATAAATATATGTAGAGAGAGAGACAGAGAGAAAGTTATAGCTTTTAATAACACGCTCAAAGCGAATGAAATTTGAATGAAAGGCATTAGCAATTTGTATGCCAAATGACATTCGAAACGCGGAAATTGTCAAGCAAATGAAATTAGATTTTTATGCGCAATAAAACTGAGCACCCGATTACGCATACGCACTGTTGCACGCAGCAAGTGGTTGAAAGAATTGGGATTGGGGGGAAAAAAATGAAATAAATCAGCACGGAATATGCGAATGAGGCAAAATGAAAATGAAATGAAAACGAGTAGATGTGCAAAAATGCGGAATAAAATTAAATCTCGGCTTGACAAAACCGGCACTAATGGCAACTTTTCTGCTCAATGCCACAAAAATCCCGCCATCGCCCCATATAGAATAAAGGGCATAACAATGGAAGAAGAACCCTTTCATCCCACGTGCCACACAGTGCTCGGCAAATTCCCAATACAATAAGCTAAAAACATGCTTGTGTGTGGAAGTCCGGGGGCATTAAGTGAAGAAAACAGAAACACCTAAAGTGGAAAACTAAAACGTGGCTCACCAGCAGGAACAACAGCAACAGCCACAAGGGTGCACTGACAACAACAACAACAACAACAAAACCAAAAAATCCATTTAAAAGCCCTTCATTCTTTCGCCAACCTACGCTTACTGTGCCAACATAGTGCTTAAATGGCATTTCCTTGCTGCCACGCTTTGTTGTATGCAACAACGGCGTCTAAAGCACAAAAATAGAAATGCGAAAAGGGTGCAAGGAACACAAAAATAAAAATACACAGACAAACACAAATACAAACAAAAAGAGAAAAGCACAAACAAAGAAGGAGGAGAGAGTGATAAGCACCCGACGCGCTCATTTGATGTCCTCGTCATCCTTGCCGCGCTTCGTTGGCAGCCCAGCGGACCTAAAGCTAATTTAAAAGTTACTAAATTGAACATTGAAGGGTTTTGTCACTCGGCCAACCCATTTTCGGGCAGGACATGCCAAAAGTAATTGCGTGCCCCACCAATTCACGAAAATTGCGCAAAATAACAGAATAAAATCAAATAAAATAAATGTAAAGTGCTCGCTTATATACGCACACGTACGAGTATATATACTTACAGCATTATTGTGATTCCAAAAGATATAGGCCGGTGGCTCCGGTGAGTTGAGTATGACACAGGTGAGATTTATAGTTGAGCCACTCTCTATATACAAATCGGGTGCGCCAATTATTTCCGTTGAGGGTTCTGTAACAATAACAAAAAATCACTCCAAGTAACAAATTGAAAACTTAAATAAGTTCACATTTATTCATTTTGTATTGCAAAGGGCTTTAGTATTTTTTATTTATTTTGATTAATTGTTTAATTAAGTCGTGTACTTATTTACTTTCGTTTTTTTTACTTATTTGTTAGTGAATTTTGGTTTTTTTTTCATACATGCATTTTCTATATGTTTATTGTTTTTTAGTATTTTATTAATTGTTGGCTATTTTATTTTGTATTTTTATCTTTTCATTAATTTTTATTTATCTTTTGTTAATTTTCCTTTTTGTTTTTTTTTATTTATACCCTAATTACTTTTAACTTATATTATTTGTTTGATTTAGGTTTTTTTATTTTTATTATTTATTACAAATTTTTTTTTTTTATTTTCTTTACTAATTTGTATAATTGTGCTATTGATTATTTGTTGTAGTATGTTTTATTTATTTATTGATTGATTATGTTTTCACCTATTATTATTTTATTTATTTTCTATTTTGAAATAATAGAAATAATACCTAATTTATTTATTGGTTTGCTTTTAATTTTTTTATTTCTTTACTTTTTTAATCTATTTATTTATTTATTTGTTTTGTAATTTTTATTTTATATTTATTTATCTACTCCTTATTCGTTTTTATATATTTATGTCTTTTGTTATTTATTGGAATATTGAAATATTACCATTTTATCACATTTAATTTATTTTAAAAATAAGTTAAATCGTTATCATTAGTCATCTTTTAATTTAAAGATTCTTTATGTTAATTTTATAAGCTTTCTTAATGATTAAAATGTATATATTAATGTACGTTAACTTATTAAGTTGTAAGCGGTCTTAATCATTATTTATTTATTTACTTATCATTCTCGCTACTTATTGTTGAATATTCATCTTCTGTGTATAGCCTAACAATGCTATGAAATTCAGATTCTATAAGCTTCCCTATCAATACATCCACCAACCATCGAAACCTTCTAGCCTGTGTCCAGTTCTTGTTGCCCATTTTTTGACGTTAGCCAATTCCCATAGTTTGTCCACCTTAACCAACTGCAATTGTAATCCACATTAAGTTTATGGCGTACTAGAATAAACATTCACTGCCCCTTCCTACCTCCGTCCTCCCTCTGTGCCACGACCCCTCGGAGTCTAAGTTGACAGTTTATTGCTTGCCTCGAAATAAAAATGCCGTTGCCCACTTTTAGGCTGATTGCTTTTGTCCGTAATTTGTGTGTAAAAATAAAATGGCGGCGGCGCAGGCAGCTTAAAACAAAAGAGAAGTTCTCCGGTAAATTGGTGGCAACTTTCTAGAAATTGGAAGCTCAACAAACTTTTTTATTTTCCCTTCGAAATTAGTCGCAGCTAATTCCACATTTTAATTTAATTGCGGCACCGGAACAAATTTTCTTTTAAGATAAGAAAAACAACGATTTCTTTAATGTTTTTAGGCTCAAGAGAATGTGTTAGCATAATAATGCTATTTGAAGTGAAATTCTATTATTTTTGACAGAAAATTTCGTATCATATTATATATGATAATAATTATATATTATTATATATATAACAATTATAAATATAAATAAAATATATAAATATAAATTTATCTCAAGTCGGCAAAAGAAACATTAAGAAACGTAATTTATCAAAAATTAATGACAATATAATTTTTTAATAAAATTATTTAAAGAAAAACTTAGAGAAATAGAATATTTGATTAAAAATTGATCAATGTATTGGAATAGAAAAGTCGCAAAAAATCAATGGCTATGCTTAATAAATTTTAGCAAAATTTAATTTAACAAATTTTTAAATTTAATGTAAACAAGTTGCCACAAATCAACAACCACGTTAACATTCATCAAAATATTTACACGTTTTGAATTTAATTTTAAAGAATAGAGCAATAATTTCTATTTTCTTCAGGTTTAATTAAAATGTATCTGTCATGTTATTATTTTTGCCAGATTTCGTTACCTAATTTACTTTTTAAATTTTCAATTAAGTATATTCTTTAAAAATGAATATCTTCTTATTTTGTATTTAATTATAATCGTTATATATACGTAGATGCTATCCGCTATATGACATAATTGTTTATTTAATTTAATTGATTTAAGACAATTCATATAACCTTTACTGACCTCTTGTAGAATAAGAATTAGGCGCAGTAATTTCAGAAAAACAATGCATTTGTATGGATTTTAAAAGGCAGCTCTAAAGCCACTGAGTCAATCAGCTATCAAATTTATACAAGTATTTATGTGTTTCAGATTTATTTGGATTTAAAATGTGTTTATTTAGATAATGAATGCAAAGAATATCTGTGTTTTTCATCCTATTGAATACAAAATCATCTTCATTCATCATTTCATCAACACTTGCTGTATACTTTTATATATTCTGTTCTTTTAATCTATTCCATATATGTATATCGAGTACATAACCACATGAAATCTCTTAGCTCTTGGCTGTCTTCCCTGCAGCTATTCTGTGTTTGTTTAAAATGTTAAAGAAATCAAATCACATTGTTAAAGCATGCCCATAAATTCGAATTTGCTGTTTTCCTTCTACTTTATTTGATTTAATGATGATTTTATTCCGTTAAATGCCTCACTCGGCAGCCCCGAAGCTATGTATCCATTGTACTTACCAACAACATTCAAGTGTATGTAGTGGCTCATGTGGGGTGTTGTCGACACCTGGCACTCATAAATGCCTGAATCGCGATGCTGGGGATATTTAATTTGTAGCATCCAGTCTTCTGTTTGCGGTTGATGTATGGCGCGAAAACGTTGATCCGATGTATACGTATAGCGGCCAACTGTGAGCAAATGTATGTCCCGATGTCGCACCCACGAGACTTGCAGCAACATCTAGAATCAGGGGAGACAGAGTTAGGCACCCGATAAAGCAAAGTAATGCAGACTTTATGCAAAAAATTTTATTCAAAGTGTGTTTATGCGTGTGTGTAAATTTTAATTTATTAAGCAAACAGTTTAAAAAGTCAATTTTACGCGCACATTAGCATTACAGGGAGGCCTGAAAAGTGGGGGGACCACCTTTTTCCTTTCCTTTTTTTTTGTGCCACACGCACGTGTAGAGCTCATCCCTCAAATTCTGTCTTCATCATATCGGCGTCGTCGCATACGTGTAATATGCAAATTTATTTTGAAATATTGTATATGCTTTTTCATAAAAGGAACGAAAAAAAAGAAAAGAAAAGAAGATGCCAAAAACTTTGACACACACGCCGTGCCACACACAGACACCCCATGTGAGTGGGCAGGGGCGGGGTAGGGGAGCTGTCAAAGTGCAGTAGGCGTGGGCGACTGTTACCCTTGTTAACTTTTGAAGCAACTTTCTTGCCTCAAAGACAAATTGAAGGCAACACATTGCGACGCCCACTCCCCGAGTCCAGTCACAGTGGTCCTGTTAAATGGCCTCTATTCAAAAATTTATGTAATCTAATAAAATTTATCTCATTTACAGTAATCCTACGGCTCTATTTATGAATATATTTGCTGACTTATAACTTTGTGTTGGCCTTTGCTGGATATGTGATTCAATTTTTTTTAAAAAGAAAACTTTTTCACAATAAAGATGTATGTCAAAATTGACTACCTTGCACCTAACAGCTGTTAAAAAATGAACAAACAAGCTAATTAAAAACAATCTGACGGAACGTCTGCTTGTCCGACTGCCTGTCTGTCTGTATGAACGCATATATCTCGGAAACTGTAAGAGCTAAAAAAATTAAACTTTATATACAGATTGTATTACACACGATAAACATTACGATTCTAATTTTTTCGATTCAACCGCAAGTCGACTTATTAGGGTTATTTAATTGTTGGGCCTTCTTTTTAATTTATTTATTAATTAAACCAAAAACTAAAACGATGATAGTGCATTACAATATAAGAGTTGCATGAATATCGAGTCCACTAATTAATTACGAGTGTAAAGTATGTTGAGACTGGCAAAAAATCACAAGCGAATTGATAGAATTTCAGAGCTTGTCGCTAACCCAATGTGTTTTCAATTAAAAGACATAATAATACTATGCTTAAATACAATGCTTCTGTTACAAGACAACTCTTCCGCGAGGTTCTTTGCACGTCTGATCGTGGCTTAAGCACGATTTTCGTTTTGGCAATCAAAAATGTCGAATGCTTTTAACATCCTATATGCATGTTAATAATTAATATTTACCACTGTGCACCGCCACACCCACCGCTCGCACTTGAACTCATCCTACATGAACAGCCTACCCCAAATTCCAGGCACGCTAATGCACACCTGTTTGGCAACCACCTGCTGTTAACATGTTTTACCATTTAAAGTAAAGAAAAGACGAAGTACACGCAACATTTTTAAGTGACTGTGATTTAGCAACACACACACCCACACACACACTGAGATGATAATTTACATAGAGGGGTGTGTGAGTATGTGTGTGTGTGTGTGGCTCGTGTCATGCGTCAGCTGTGACCATTTTCAATTTAAATGGCAACGGGTGGGTAACATGCTGGCTGACGACGACAATGCCGACAAGATGAGGCACAAGTTAATGGCCAAGAAATTGTCAGCATTGTGGGGCAAACTTTTCAAGAGTTAAGCAAAAGTTGCTTGTAATTAACACCAAACGTTGCCCCAGGTAGACTTTAAGTAAACGCCTCTTCCCCCCACTTTTCAAACACTTCAACCCTCTGGGCAAACATGAAGGCAGGCAGACAGGCAGACAGGCAGGCAGGCAGACTGACAAGCAGTCAGCCAGGCAGAAAGTCTTGGCAACCACAAAAATGAAACACATCCAAACAACCAACGAACCAACCAACCAGCCACCCAATCCACCCATATGCCACACGCCCCCGATTTTTATGCATATTATGCGTGTTTACAGTATCGTAAAATTTGTATATCGATTTCAAGCGTAAATATTTTTTATGCCTGGTAAACAGAAACGTAAAAGAAAAGAGCAGAATCGAAGGCAACGCCAAAAATCTGTCGCTTTTACAACTCAATTTTTGGAGCATGGTTTTCCAAAAAAACAGAAAAACAGAAAAACGAAGAAGAGAGAGAGAGTGTTTTGCGCGCATATTTTGAAACTTTTCCTTTTGACTTTTGCCATGAATTATTTAGCTCGAAGCTTTTGTTTAACGCCCCCACACCTTAACACCACCTCCCACTTCTCATTAGGGCGCATTATTATCAGCAGCCGGCAGCCGTAAAGCAACGAACAGCTGAAATAAATGGCACACCGCTGCGACTCTAATGAAAAACGTCATTAATAATGTACAAAACATCAACATCCGTTTGGTGTTTATCATTAAAACCTACACTGCGCATAAAACAGAAGGTGGCTGCGCTCGATTTCTTTTTACACCCAACCCATAAACGAACGATAAAAGGGTATCTTAAGAAGTGCGTAGGATATGTAACAGCATGATAAAATACATTTTAAAGGGGAAATTTTTAAACAAAATAACGATAAGTAATAATGTAACCATTGGCGTTCATTTGTACGACTGTTTGTCCCACTGTCTGTCTGTATGAACCTTCAGATCTTTGCAACACTAAACGCTTGGTCCACCAAACTTTTAAATTATTTATATTAAGTAAAAATGTAAATAATATTACACATTATTTTGTGTATAAATTTGTTGTTTGTTAAGTAAACCTTTCTAGTTTATCATGTCTTCGCTAGTCAGTAAGTAGTAGGTAAGATAAAAGGGTATCTTAAGAAGTGCGTTGGATATGTAACAGCATGATAAAATACATTTTAAAGAGGAAATTTTTAAACAAAATAACGATAAGTAATAATGTAACCATTGGCGCTCATTTGTACGACAGTTTGTCCCACTGTCTGTCTGTATGAACCTCCAGATCTTTGCAACACTAAACGCTTGGTCCACCAAACTTTTATATTATTTATATTAAGTAAAAATGTAAATAATATTACACATTATTTTGTGTATACATTTGTTGTTTGTTAAGTAAACCTTTCTAGTTTATCATGTCTTCGCTAGTAAGTATTGTTTTCATGTGTACTCGAGAATAAAGAGAGAATAAAGTTTCTGATTTTCGCAGCTCTAGCGTCTACATCTTTCTCATTTTATACTTCCAACTGCAAAAGCCAACTTGACCCATGACTTTGGCTAATCGCTCAGCTCTAATGATGTATATATGTACTCGCAGTATATCTGCAGAAGGAAGTGTGAGTCTTAAAAGGGGGGTGGAGGGGGAAGGGTTGCAGCTGCGGTCCGCCACAAACTGAAAGCTAATTAGGTTTTAAGCTGACAACGCACAGCTCAAGCAAATGAAGTTCGAACTGTGAAAGGGTTTCACAGCTTAAGCAATGCTGTGAAAGGGTCTGAGTGTGAGTTCAATTAGGAAGTTGAGTTTAGGCGAAAATTAAATAAAGGAAGTGTTTTAGTTTTCGAGGGCAGGAAACGCAATTTTCTAGCTGAGGGCAGGCGACAATGAAGCCAAAAGTTCAAAAGAGAAAACTCTTACTAATGTGCATACTTTAAGGGAAATAAAGGAAATCCAATTGCTATTGTTTAAGTTCTACGTGAGTTCGTTTGATTGAAGAACACAAAGAATTACGTAGAAATTAAATTGCCATACAAAAATCTACAGGAATTCAGGTAAGCCACAAATTAAAGCTTCCTTTTACTTAATCAAATGTGTTTCATATGAGCACTTGTGATGCCTTTACAGAAGCATTGTGCCTTTCAAACAAATAAAACTAATTAAAATACCATATGTCTTGAAATCTGCTTCGAAGCACTTTTGAAGTTAAGGAGCTTACCAATCGAAAGGAAGAGAAGCCAATAATAATTTTTCACGTCTTATAGTATAGTTAGGTGTGTGTACGAAAGAAAGCAGATGAGAAAACGAAAAGACTTGCATAAAATATCTCCAAAAGTAAATGTTCTAGAATCTAAATGTTAAATTATTAAGATTCGGCACTACTAATGGCCTAGTAATACTAAAGGTATTTCGTAGTATATTCAGTAGGTGGTTACACTTAAGAAGAAAGAAATTAAAATACCTGAGTGGAGAAAGCGAAGAGAGGGTACAAGTCTTTTAATTATACGGCCACAATACATCAGAATTGGCTAGTCAGTCTAGTCAGAGATTTTTAGAACTAGTTAACTAGTTAAAATCTCAGCTCAGCTTATCAAAATCGTATCAAATTGGTAATAATAATAATTTTTTATAATATTTATAACGCAAGTCATCAACATTTATTATAACTATTATAAATGAATTAAAATGAAACGAATGCTTGTTTTCTATTATTTGTAATTCTACACCATATATCTAATTCTGCAAATCAATGATCAAGCTGTTTATTTTAAGAGCTGCAAGATGCTTTCTTCTATATTTCCTTCTTCCCTCACACAAAAACCAAATAAACCCACAAATAATTCAAAATAACTCTTAATAATTCTAAATAATTTTCAATTAATACTCTTTGTGCATTTGAAACTATCAAAATGTAATAAGTATTTAAAATATTAAATACCTAAGTATTGGCTCTCAACAATTTAATATCTATACACAATTTAATATCTAATATATAAAGATATTTGGTTTGTCATTTTGATACACTCAGAACGTTATAGGTATATAAATGGGTACCTTTATGGTTAGTATGACTAGACGACTGACTACAATTGTTTTCAAAGTCTGTTTATTTAGAGTAAAAAATATGACAGAGAATTGACATTGAATATAGATCGTTAGTTTCAAATCAAACAATATATAGACAATGTAAGAAATGTTAATGATATGAGGAAATCAAGTCTCCTCCAACAGGTTGCTGATTTGAAATCAATAGCTTTTATTTTCTTAAATATGCCAATTTTTAATCGATAAAAATTTAATTGAACAAATTGAAAATAATTTTCATTGCATACAATAAGTTTTAGATTTAACCAAAATACTTGAAAATTTCATTGAACAAATTGAAAATAATTTTCATTGCATACAATAAATTTTAGATTTAACCAAAATACTTGAAAATTTTTAACAGTTTAGTTGGCGAATTATCAATATATTTAATTAGAGAGTTTCCATTTTATAATTAACAAAAAGGGTGAATAATTCGTTTCTTATAACAAGAACTCTTATTTAATTTAAATAATTTGTCTTATTTTGATAAGCTCTGACTAAAAACGAAACTTAGTATGTAGATTTGTCGTATCACTACGCAGTGCAAATTAATTACGAATAATATAGAACCTCTTTTTTTGGCTGCCTTAGGAACGATTGGTGCAACGCTTATTCTAAGCGAGATTTTTTTTACTACTTGATATACGATTTTTTGAACTTGGCCACGTTTTAAAACAAATATAAAAAACTTGACCTGAAAAAGCAAAATAATTTAATTAAAATAATACGCAGAATTGGTAAAATATGACTTAACTTTTATTTAACACCTCCACTCATTAGTCGTAGCTCATTAGCTAATGATCACCAATGGAAATCTGCGATTAAGTTATTACAGCTAATGAAGTTGGCAAAACTATCTAAAACAGAGACGGCACCAGGACCCAAAAACTTTGCCAAATGCCGCACAACCAACTTCAACTGACAGCAATTTCCCCCCCTCCCCAGCTCCTCCAACACCTGCCTTGGTCCACACACATGCTCTCAATTTAATAATCACGCAAATTAGTTTCCAAAAACCAAACTTAATGGTAATGTGGCAGCCATCGTAAAACCGCAAAAGCAACCCCCACTCCCGCATGAAATGAACTATTTTTGTCCGTTTCTCTGAGTGTAATCGAGCAGCTGCCAGGGCCGACATATAACGTATTATTATCGAAAATAAGCACTGCAATGCCACCCCCAACGGAAGCAACGGAAGCCAAATGACTACGTTACTGGTTGTGGAAACTAACCTAAAAGCGTACTAGACCCTCGCCCCGCACCACCCCGGCACCACCCAAACCACTTACATGCCAGCGCCACTCATGCGGCAGTTGAGCCGCGCTTCGGCCTACAGGAATACAACAGGAGGAAAAAGAAAAGAAACGAATCACAGAAACCAAACCCTAAAATGGGCAAAAAAAAAGAAGCAGAAAGCTTTCACTTTTTTGTTTGTGTTGTTCCTCATTTTCGGTCCGAACTCGGTGCGACTCGATTTGAATAGTTGGCCCAGGTACGGAGCATAGACCGGAAGTGTTGTGGCGTTGCCACGACGAGATTGTGTTTGTGAAATGTTTTGCGGTATTTCCTTCCGCACAGGCAAACTTACACTCCACACACACACACACACACACACACACCCACACGAAACGAAACGCACACACACGTACTTAGACAGATTTTTGTTGAAGTTGAATAAAGTAAAATCTGTTTCCTGTTTTCGTATAATTAATCATTTCGCTTGGCACCGGAACAATTAGCCTAAGCTCTAAATAGTGTGTTTTTTTGTGTGTGTATGTGTTTGTGTGTTTGTGCCTGCCATGTGGGCGCAGTTCATGGGCTAATTAGCTTTTTAAAAAACCCCAGTGGAACCGACCTATATACACACTAAAGGGGAGAAAATTCATTTGCCTAAAACGGAAATTGTCATCCAAAATTAAACTCGAAGTGTGCATCGATTAACAAATTTAGGAGCTCCTTTTCAAAAGCATTGGAAATTTCAACTCTTCTTGCTTTTGAACCACACGAGATGATACAAACGAACAGTATAATAGAAACCATAAATTTTAGGCGTTTAACAACTCCTTAGTCTAAATCTTCCCAACTCTAGATATTTCCAACTCTAGATCTTCCCAACTCTAGGTCTTCCCAAACCTAGATCTCGTAATAAGGAGTCAAGATAAGGAGTCATCACACATATCTATATTCACGCACAGAACCCCGAACAGTACAGCGAGAAAATAGTTAAACAAACAAATCAAAGGATACTTTTTTAACACAAATATAGAATTGACTTACTAAGAACATCAAAAAAATAGTAGTGCTGTTAAAGAGTTCATCGAAAAACCAATAAACATAAACATGTAATCCCATAAAGTTAGAAGAATCAGCACTCAAAGTTTTTTGACTCTAACCTCTACAACTGCCTAGGTATACGCGTTCATACAGTGAGACATACATAGAAGAGCCATTTGAAAACGCCAAAACTTCCTTAAAAGAATACAAATCGAATAGCGAACATAAACTTGTTCTTTATTGCAAATGCACGAACCTTGCTGCTAAGTTTTGTGTCTCTATTATCTATGAACTCTGAGAACTATGAGTTCAGACTGTCGGACATAACAGCGTTGCATTATTATAACACATGTATGTACATTTAACTGTCACATGGAGCAGAAGAATTCCATGACACCCTTTTAGGTAAAGTGTATAAAAGCATGCTGCGCGCTCATCAGCCTGGAAGTCTCTTCCCTCCCACAAATGCGCATTACAAATCGCGTTTTGATAGCATTAAATGGCATTACAATTAGACGTGATGTGTGTGGGGGTGTGTGTGTCTGTCTTTGTCTGCTGGCTGGCTTGATTACTTACCGTTTTGTTGCCCAGATTCTTGACACGACAATTCAAATAGGCCGTCTTGCCGAGCAGTGCAGTGACATTCTTGGAGGCTGCTTTGTCGAAATAGGGACCCCCATTGCGGGCATCTTCGATTAGGTCGATGCTATTGCGATTGATACCGGAAGCAGCGGATGCGATTGTATTCATGTTGCTGCTACTGCTGCTGACTTTTTGCAAACTGCTGCTGGCAATGCCGGTTACTGTTGTGGTAGTGCTGCTGCTGCTGCTGCTGCTACTGCTACTGCTACTGCTGCTGCCTATTGCCGCTATGGTGGTTGTCAGTGAGCCACCGATGCCTCCACCGCCTCCCGACGTGGCCATTGCATGGCCATTCTTGCTGTTTCCGTTACTGCCATTACTAATGCCATTGTTGTTGCTGTTGCTGCTTGCGCTTCCGGTGGCACCATTGGGAGCACCACTAACAGTCACATCGTTGCTGTCGGAGCCACTCTTCGGTATGGCATTATTACTGCTGCTCATATCCTTCGATTTGTATGAATCACGCTGTGCGGCAAAGACTGAAAGGAAGCGGAAAGAAACTTATTAGATAGGGTGCAGAAAAATGTAAGCGATTGCTTTTAAAACTAGGACCGACATAAGTCAGCCAAAGCCCATTAAATGCTTCATAGTTAATATTATTAAATACTTTATTTCTTAATAGTTATTAGCTTAATAATTTCTTAATATTATTAATAACTTAATAATGTAATAAGAACTATGTCTATGAGCCAATGTGTTGTAGCTTCGTCATAGAGAAAAAATCGAATAAGAACTTAACTCCTGTGCTTGCACAATTTTGGAAGGAACTAAAAACTTGAAAGACACAAAAACTTTTCTCCTCCTACTTTTACTTTTCTAAAATCCCTTTTGAATATCTCATGCCTTGTCAGTCAAACCACAAATTAGATAAACGAATTAACACAAAAAAAATGAAGCTAACTAGCCAAGAATTTGTGCCCCATGCCTATTGAAGGAGAACTAATTTGAATTCTGAATATGAAAGAATTTCAGTATAACAATGCCTAAAGAATGTAATTAGGCGGAATGGCTATCTCTCTATGCATCAATTTGCATTTTTTCTCATATCTCGTTTTGCCAGTTAGTCCTGGCTACACAGTCATAATTCGTTAAACAGAATATAGCATAATCTCCATAAAACCAACGCTGAACATAGAAAAGGGAATGATTTACCAGCCAAGAACTTCTATTGACTTATTAACTTATTAGCTTACCAAAAAAAACGGTGGCCAACACTTACCAACTAACGTTCTAACTAGGATACGCTATCTCAGGCCTATAATTGGTCAGCCTAGCGACCACTTATACCATCAGCTTAACAGACCGAGTCGTTCCAGTAAAATCCGTCTATCTGTATGAACGCCAATATCTCCGAATGTTTAAGAGATAGTGTCACCAAACTTTCTATTCTGCCAAGATGTTCTGATCTCTTACTTCCCGGCAATGAATGTGTATTTAAGCCCCCTCCAAGCCTAAATCGATTTAATAACTTCTTTTATGTGTGAATTTTTATCCCCAACTATCAGGTATTGTCCGTCTTTGATGGGCTCAGTATTTTTGCTTACAATTATAAGTTTATTTACAATATGCTACTTCTCTTCCGACACTCTCTAAGGTTTCTAAAGGAACTGCCAAAGGCAAATTACTTTGGTACTTTTCGAAAGCTAGGGCATATAGTACAATACAGTATTGTATGAATGTATGAAAATTTCTGTAAAATAAAAATGATAGTATTTTGAAATTAAATTGTAAAATTTCTGATCAATTAAAATATTGTGCATGCCCTCCTCTGCGATTCTCATACCAAGTGCCTATGCGCTGGCAAAACAAGAATTAAAATATTAAATTTCTAAAAAATTAAATAATAAATTTGTGGATTTAAATTGTGAAATTTCTGATAAATTAAATAAAAATATTGTGGTTTAGTTAATTTAAAATAACAAAAAACCAAGTATGCAGTTCTTTTTTTTTTTGTATTCTTTCTGAAAGTATACAAAATTAATCAATTGAAATTTGTATGTTTTTCATACAAACGTTGGAGCTCGTTTTCCCCCTTTGGAGTTCGAATTTTCCAAAACTTGTGTCCAAATTTCAGCTTCCTAGCTTTTACCATTTGGGCTGTGCGTTGATCAATCAGTCAGTCAGTCAGTAAGCAAACTGTTTTATACATATAGATTAAACACACACAATCTCACATCTGCCATTCATGAAAAGCTGTATTCAATTAATAACTGAACCGATTACAGGCTATATAAGAATTGGAGGGTGTGTGACTTAAGCCTTCTACTCGCTTCATTCTAGCGACTTAAATAAATAAAATTTGTATAATCCGAGCAAGTAGGTTGGGAAAGCATGTCAGAGTGGAGCTAAAAGCGCAAACATTCCCAAAATAAAAATAGCTTTACATAAAATCAATAGCTACATATTTTTGGCTGCTTTTTTGCAAAGCATATTCGGCAGAAAAAAAAAGTAAGAACACGGCTACGCTTTTTTGGCAAACTTGTTACGAAATTAACCGCACATATTGTTAGCTTTTCATCAATAACATGGGGCGCTACCTAATACCAAATACCATCAACCAATTAGCAAATTACAAGCACCATTCATGCACAAGCACACACACACAAATATATAGTATGTACATATATATATAGTAGTATGTATGTATGATATGCTCGAATATATGGACACACACATCTATATATATATATCTACCTATAAACACATGGAAAACTTGCTCAAACAATTTGGCCATAACTCGTGGAAAAGTTGCTCGTTCTGTTTGGTTTCAGTTCGTTTCATTCTTGTTCTTTTTTTGGGCGTGTGTGTGTGTGTGTGTGCAGAGCTTTTGTTTTTATGTTTTTCGTTTATCAAATTTTTATGTTTTTTTTTCTGGCAACAACTAACTGAGCAAACGCCCTTCGTATCCATGTCCTTGTTCTCTTAGTTACGAGCAAATTCTTATCCGCCATTTATCCATCACTTAGCTGCGCTTACGATGTCGACAGTCCGCCCACAATTTGCCGCCTTAACGTCTGCCACATGCACACACACACATGCACACACATCCTCGCACACACTCGCACACATGTGTGTGTCTGTTGGCCACTTGATACGCTTATTACGCCTTACGCCCAGGCTCTGCGTCTTTTTATGGCGCATGCCTGGCAGACAAAACGCTGGCGACCATTTTATAGTTAAGGGGCCAACGCCAGCGACTTTATTAGATTAAACATGTTGTGCACGTTGTCAGACTCAAACACACACACAAACACACTCACACAGAAATACACACAGAAATACACTTTCATCTTATCTGCCTCGTCCTCGACTATTAGGCGCTGCCTTAGCCCTATGGCAGTGTTTCTATTAGATAAGTCCCAAGACTCTAGCCACAGATGCGTTCTACGCTAGAGCTGTGTGCGTGACAATTAGTGATCACACCACAATCACGCATAGTCAGGAATAGAACTGCAACTCTATTACTGACACTATCCATAGTCTACATTTAGTTTAAGATTTTAGGCAGCGACGTATTTAGACAGCTATTAACACTATTTATAAATTATAATTAAAAAAGATCATGCAATTATAAGATCGATAGTTTTTTGTATTTATTGACGAATTTAAAAACCTGTTAAGGATTCTCGTGACTCCCGTTTTAAATCAGAACACCATTTATAATAAATGAAGTTTATCACATTAAGATCTCACAGACACCCTAACCCTATTGATAGTTTCGATAGTTTTGATAGTTTTTGTTTTTATCAAATCTACTTATCAATTGATAAATGAAAGCGAATACTGATAGTTTTAGCGCTTACTTTAGGAAGTAAAACGATCATTAAGTTATGAAGATCATTTAATAAAGAACTCATTGCTTTGCTGAACTACCTCGAGACCTACGGCCGGAGTTGAAACAGAAATGCAACACAAAATACATTCGTATTCCTAAACGGAAAAAATCTTTACATCGGTGTTTAATAAATATTGTCCCTCTGCTTGAATAAATTTCTTAGCCTAACATATCATCGGTACTTCAAATATTTTCGTGAATTTATGAATATGGATTATTTTAAGGCTTTTTCTTTTTTAGCATGTTATTCACATTTTTTTATGTTTATATTAGTTCCGGATTTTTTGATTTCAATTCTTGTTGTCAACTAGAACCAGCCAGTCTTCATATTTGTTCGATGATTAAAATTTTGTTAAAAACGAGATTCAAGTCTCTGTTAATTATACTATAAAAAAAGACATATTTTGTAAAATTTTGACACTTTTGTTTAAAATTTCTTTTCAGTTCAAGAAATGCAAACTTGTTCTGCAGATACTTTAACTTTTTTGTAACCATCGTTAGTATTCATGAATATTCGTGACATGCCGAAATATCACGTTTGTTTAAACATTCATACGAGTTCAGAAAATTCATGATTTGTTCGGTTTTCTTTTTTACTTTTGGATGTCAGAGGCACGCAGCCTTCTAACTCTTGTTGTTGTTGCTGTTGCTGTTGCTGACATATATTGACAGCATGCCCGGCAGCATGCCACAAAGGGAGCCGCGTTGCTGCCTCCTCTTCCTTCTTTCTTTGTGCCAATGTTCAATTGGAAAACAAACACTGTTGCTAATAAGTTGCAGCAGTCGCCCAAAAAAAAAAAAATGTATTAAAGCAAAAATAAATTTATCTCTGGGCCATTTTTTGGAGGTACACCCCCACGCCCAATCCAAGACTCCCTGGGTTTTGTGCCTAAGCTTGATAATAAATAAAACGCCCTTGGCTGAAAATTAAAATAAATTGACTGACGCGGCTAGCAACCGCAACTGTCAGTCACTCAGTCAGTCAGTCAGTCATTCTGGAAATCAACAACGTTTCGCAAAAATCAGAAAGTCATATGCCCATGTTCAAGTTCCAATCTCAGGCCCAATCACTCCCCTCGCAGTTCTCAAAAAAAAAAAACAAGCAAGACAAAAATTTTGCTGTCGACTTCAACAACAGCTTTGAACTCAAAGCAGCCGCAAGGCATATTTTTCTTGTTGTTGTTGTTGTTGTTGTTGGTCCCGCGCCGTTGCTAACATTTGTTAGCTCTTGTTGTTGTTGCTTTAGTTATTGTTGTTGTTGTTGTCAAAAACATTTGAAATGTCAAAACTTTTCGCAGTTAGGTGAATTGGCGAGCAAAACTTTTAAATTTTTAAATTCACTTTAAAAATTAAAAATCGTTTGCCTCGTCTTCGTCCTCGACCTCCTTCTGCTGGCTGTCCTCCTTCCTCGTGCTTATGCCCCAAAAGATGGCTCAACATTTTTCCGTGTACTATTTACATAACAGTATCTGTGTTGACTGTTGCCATTCCGACAAACTTATGTCATTTAAATATTTAAAGATTTTTGTTTGTCATGTCGTTGTTGTTGTTGAAAATGAAAAGTTAAATGAAAAACATATGCCGTTTGTTTGCGCAGAGACACCACTTTGAAGTTGAAGGTTCTTCAAGCTGTTTTCTCACTTGGCAGTCAGCAAATAGTGTGGCGGATATAAAGCAGATCTTAAATAAAGATATAATGTCGTAACTGAAGCTTAAGAAAAGAAATAGAAATAGAATCGAATAGCGCTAAAAGCCTAAAGCAAGGCTTGTTGGTTAGTTGTACACAGCTTTTCATTATGTGGGGGAAATCTTTGGACACCTTTGGATAAGATACATAGAGCCGCTAATAAGCCGTTGCTTATAATTTCTTCAATGTAGGCCAGATACTTTCATAGAACAATTGCATTTTTTAACTATGTCGGATAAGTTTGGACACATTTGGATAATTATTATGAGGCTGTAAAGCACTAATCTACACTGGCCTTATGCTAATAAATGCTAAACTGTTGTACGCAACTCTGGGTAATAGCTGTGGGGGATACCATCGGATAACTATAGATTAAAGACAAAGTTAACAGTTAACTTTGACGGTTAAGCCTGGATACCTTTCCATAATTCGCAGTAGATTTAAATCTACGCTGTCTTTAAAATCTATATTCTCCACCTAACGACTTTATAGCTCACTTTATAGCTCACTTATTTACGATGGATAGCAGTGAAAACATTGGGCTTTTTGGATAAAGAAACAATATAATTTGACAAGAGGAACAGCCTTCAATTTTTTTTTTTAACATGATTCTGAATACGAAGCCAACTTAAAAGTGAATAAAAAATTGAGAATAAAAAAAAGAAGCGCTGACATGTGCAAAATGAAATTTAAAGTTGGCGGATATAGGATAGGATAGTTCCCCAGAGTTAAAAAAAAATTGAGTTATTCAAAGTAAACATGTTCCCGCTACGAAATAATACTAAAATTGCTATTTAATTGGCTCGGATAAAATTGAATAAAGTCTATTAAGGTATTTCTTTAAATACCTCATACTTTTGAAGATCCTTATGCTGCGCAATTTTCATCAATTCTGATAACATAGGATAAGAAAAGGGAGTACCCTGCTTGGAAAAAAGGCTAACGAGTATTATTTATTTACAAATTAATCGAATGTGGGCAAAAAACAATCTTAGCAATAAAATAAGGAAATGGATGTTATACCAAAAGAGTGTAAATATTACAAGTGTGGTGAATAGTGGATATAGTCGGATAAATTCGGATAAGAACCCAGATTCGCGTTGACTTCTTCTCTACTAGCTAAGTAAGCAACTGGAATGAATTTATGTTTACACTCAGTACTATATTTCCGCAAAAATAACATGATTTCCTAAATTTATACTTGTATATAATGCATGAATCGATATAAAAGAAAAACGCTCGTGTCACTGGGACCTTCCCCTTAGCCATTTGTCAGCCTAACCGCAACTCATCATCGTGTTCAGAAACGCATATGAAAAATGAAAGCGAAATTGCAAACCTCACCACACGTGCATATGTTTGAAGCAAATACCCACACAATCAGAGCACAACAATCACTTGGGAGTTGGCCAACCAACGAACCAGCCACCGAACCAACCAACCTACCTCAGACTAAAACATTGATTTCCCCAGACTTTTCAGCTCAAAATTAATTACCAAACCAAAAAACGCTGAGCTCTGCTGGCAGCAGCAAGTAGCAGGAGGGGGAAAAAAATTATGTAAGTAAGTCGCAGCCTGATTTTTTCTGCTGACTCATTTGGCATGACGACGAGCGAAATGATATCGAAAATCGAAATCAATAAATGAAATTGGTCAAATCAATTTGGCAGCAATTGCAATTTGGCTCAGAGCAGCCGCAGGAGGAAGGACGGCAGGAAGTTGGCTTCGTAAAAAGTGGGACATGAAATTTGATTAACAATTGGAAGAATGCCAAAATGTACTCGCAGTCCAAGAGAGAGGGGCAGCCATGAGATGTGAGAAGTAAACATCTTTAGCATGACATTTACAAAATTCTACAAACGAATTTTATCATTGACAGAGTTTTAAGAAAGTTACACAAACATATAAATAATATATTTCAAAATTAAAACCATTCCTTAACTATTTAATTTTTTTTAATTATTTACAATTTTAGCTGTGAAATTTGTAAATAGAATAAATTAAAAATGCCACCTATTATTTAAGTAATTAATCTATAAATTAATTAAAAACAGATACTAAATTCCTCAAAATAAAATTAATTTCTTAAAGAAATCAGTTTTAAAATTAGCTGAACAAAATAAGTACTCCACCTTTTTTTATTAAAATCTATTTTAAATTTTATAAAGTAAAAGATCCCTAGTTTGAAACAAATACACTAAATTAACTTCTTATTAATTGATACTTTGATTTAATCATTGGTTTATTGGATTAGCTTTACATTTGTTAACTATATAATATAATCCCTTGATTTTGCTGAGACTTCAGAGTCAGAATTGCCATATTTTCTTTTTCTGTGCGTATACTACCAAAAGTAATTTTTGCACCCACCTATGACAGCTATAAAAAATATAACGCTTTCTATGGTTTTTGATAAACTTGCTCTCCATATGTACAAAAGAAGTCTATATACCAAGTTTTGTACACCTAGCTGTTATGGCTCAAAAGTTCTCGGTGCTCATACAGTCGAACAGAGGAACGGACATGTCTCTATGGATTCATCGGTTCAGGCTGTTCACATAAAGTACTATACTTTAAATACACCTATAACATGGTGTCTGTCAGACCTATTATTGTCTATTTTATACATTTGGTGACTAGACTTTCAAGCCCTTTCCCCTTTTTGTAGCGAGTTCAGCTCTGGTTCTATCTGAACCCTTTTTTTTGCAGCGCTTAAAATATGCCACTTAGACTTAGCTTAACTTTGGAAATAATATTAATATCGATCCCATATAAGGCAAACATTAAATGTACTCTATTTATTTGGAGAGTTAGACCCTTTAATACCAATTAGCTTTACCGTTGCTTACAGTTCGGATATGTACTACTCACCCCCATTACCGGATATCACAACTATGACAACGACGAGCATGGTGAGCATTATCAGAGCACGCTGGCATCGGCAGCAATCGGCGGCGTTGATGGAGAAGGAGGAACAGGCATTATATAGACGTGGTCCGGCCGTTGGCCAGAGTCGGGTGCAAGACGAGGCCGCTGATGGCGGCAATGTGGGCAGCGTTGTCGATGAGGATAGAGGTGACAAGGTGGCTGGACTAGCACTCCGACTCTGCCACAGACTATTACTGAACGAGGTTGTGGAGAGGGTGTCCTGTAGAGCTGTGGCCGCTGTCGTTCCTGTTGTCGATTCGGCCGTCGTCGAGGCGTTTGTTGCTGCCAAATATAATGCTGCTGGTGGGTCTGTGTGACGTTGGCGTCTTTGACGTCGACTAGTCCTAGTTAAGGACGTTTGGGACGCTCGTTGCTTTAAATTCGTTCGTTCCAGTTGCTGTTGGTGCTGGGGCTGGGGCTGGGGATGGGGCTGGCGCGTTTCCATTTGAAAAGTTGCCATAATATATTTCTTTCTGGGCTTAGTTCGCATTTACTATACTCTGCCACTCTGGGCGGGCGCTCTGCTCAAGCACTTGAACACTTGAACCTAGACGAGTGTATTTTTTAGGGCGTGGCCAGTGGGCTGCTGCTGCTGCTGCTGCTGCTTTTGCTTTTGATTTTGCTTTTGCATGCTCATATTAAGGCCCGCCATGCTTCAACTGCCACGATGCGTGAAATTGCTGTGCCGGCTTACAAATTGCTCGGCGCGCACAGTTCTCTAATACAAGTAAGTGGTGGCCCTGCTTCTCAAATTGAAACTACTTTACTCCTGCTGGTGGTGGTGCTGAAAAATCGCTGCCATTTTTCCGCCGATTTATATTCCATTTAATTCGACTTTAACACGATATCACTTCATCTTCATTAGTAGACGTTCTCTCTCTCTCTCTCTTCCCTTCTCAGCCGGTCAATTGTTGGACCACCGCGCCTGCCATACGATGTTGTGATTGTTGTCCTTGAAGCCGCTGTCGTCCACTGTCTGTAAAAAAAAGGAAGAGAGCGTGGATATGAAAAAAATGTTGTTTTTTTAGTGGGGAGAGTCCTGCCGGCAAACGAGCGTTAAAATGTTTGGAATTTCATTAAAAATGCAAACGTCAAAGTCAAAATAAATGGAAAAATGTTTGTGTGTGTGTGGGTGTGTGGGTGTGTGTGTGTGGGTGTTTGGCACGTGCTGAGCGCTTCATGCCGGCATTATATTCTCATCCTGTTTGCTGGACAGGTAGGTAGTATGGGCAAATATTTTGTATTATCCTACAGCGGTGGATTTCTTGTCTCTCACTTTCCTTTATTATAAATACTTATTTGGACAACAGGAAAATGCACAGTTGTTGCACGGAATTGGCACAACACAAATGATAAGCAAAATGTTGTCTCGGTTTTGTGGTGGTCCTGGTGGTGGGGCAGGAGCTGGGGCTACATAAAAATGTGTCACACAAATACTTGACTGGCGAGATAAGTCCTGTCGCCATTTTTCAAACATTGGGGAATTCAGCTAATTTGAAATGAAAATCAACAAATTGTTACACTTTTTGTAGCTCTTGAATGCTTAAAACTAGAGATCTTAAGAATTATAGAGAAAGAATAGATAAGAAGTATGTTTTGAAAACCTGAAAATTAACAATTTAGCCACAAAAGCATTTATAGTATGTTATTCTTGCTTCTACTTCAATCTAAAATGAGGCGAAAATCTTTACTTTGAAAACTAGTCTCAGCTGTAATTTAAAGTGCAAGTTCCTCTTCTATTACACTAATATTCCTACCATATCTGATCACAACATTATTTCTAGTTTTATTTTAAAGTGCAGCTAATGCCATATTCTTTTAACTAAAACCTTTAAAGAATAAAAGTAATTCTTTGTTTTTATCTCATCATTTTCTCCTTCACATCTTTTTTATCAATTATTGATCAAATTCAATTCAATTCTTTATGTCATTAGCTCTTTCAGACGCTCCCACATTTAATATTTATTTCAATTTCATTCCCTCCAGCAGAAAGATAAGTTTCTTAGCTTTACTTTGCAGACATAAATTAGTTGAAAACAGAAATAGTGACAGTTAATGTCAAACTCTTCCTCCAGTTGTATACACATGTTTGGACAGCAACATTATATATTAAAAATTGATTTGTGTTTTACATTAAACATTTCACATTTCCCTCATTTACCATGCACTCAAGTCTGTTCCAAACTTCGACAGTCCCCACTGAGTCAAGCTCTTGAGCGTTTTATGTCTATTTACAGACATCTATTATGCATTAGAAAACGTTTAAAAATCAATGACCCCCAAACCACCCCACCTCCTTAACTTTTCATGGAGACGAAAAATCGAGCAGCAGCCAGATTATATATATATGTACGAGTATATTGTAGGTAGGTAGGTCTGCATATAAGTAGAAACAAAAGTTTCATTTAAAACTGTCAAGCTACTGCGGGCAACGAGAACGCTCGAGAAAAACTTTTGGCCCGACGCTTTAGAAAACTTTGTGAAAATCTTCAGCAAGGGGAATCCCCGTGGCAGAGAAAAGTCATCAAATGTAAGAGAGGACAGCTGTGGGGAGCACTATCTCTCACGCGTTGCCACACACCCACACACATTCTTATCCCAACTCGGTATCACTAAAAAAATACATAAAAATAATAATGAAAAGGTGCGCCGCATAATTCATAAAACAAAAGGCAGCAGCAGCAGCTGCAAGGCATGCACAATTTTTGTTGCTGCTGTTGTTATTTGTTAGTTATTTTAATTAGTGCCAGTTCGGTTCGGCCAGTGCGTATACGCCGCATTGGTCGCCGCCATGGGAGACTTGGTGACGTTGATGAGGCATTAAATAGTAAGTGCCCAGCATGCATAATTAAAGCCAGCCGCCTCATTATAATTTCCATTAAAAACTGGAGCATTAATACAAATGCCAACTTAAGCCAGAACGTACCGCCCACCCCCTCCTCTCACAACCACTCACCAACCTGAATGCCAATCCCTGTGTACAGCTCAGCTTTTAGCCGCCACAAAACCTCATAAGCGAAATTGTTAGCACGAGCATTGGTCGCTGTCCATTGGTCAGCTTAACAGCGTGACGAACGTGCACAGACATGCAAGCATTTGCGCAGTTAATGCGCTCCATGTTGACATTTAAAGTGACAGCTGTCACAGCTTCGTCCTCGTGCCATACATCTTCAGTTTGTTAATGTGATATGCATGCACATACATATATAATTATACGTGTATATACTGTATATTTGATTAAATACACACACAACGCCGATGCTCGCCTATAAATTTGCCTTAATTGTCCCATATGTGGCTCGTGTTATTGTTGTTGCTGTGGTTATCCTCACTTTTAAATCCTTGCAAACATTTGGGAAGCTTTTCATTGTTGCGACAATTTCCTTAAATAAATAAATTACTTTTGTCTCTCCGGCGATAATTGGCCTACATTTTATTTGACAATAAATATCCAAATACTTGTATGACATTCTTCTGAGGAAATTAAATGATTTCGAAGCAATAAAATGCTCGCTTTAACATCGCCTTTTTAACAGGCAAACGATGATTGAATGAAAAATCGCAATCGTCTGCAACAAATTCTAACAATATAATAAAGAAATATAATATGATAATAAATAAATAAAGTGAGTTTCTACATTAGGTAAAATTTAAGAGATATTCACACCTATTTAAAATTTGTAGTTTATCTATAAGTTCTTTAAGCTCCGAATGATAATATGGTAAATAGCCTCTTCTGAATAAATATAAACAATCAACTAGATTAAAGCATAATTAAATTACGCATGTTTAAGCTGGTCAACATCTTTTATTCGATGTCTTGCATTTGGAAGCTAGTCTTCAAAAATCTAAATCGCAATCGATAGGCGACATTTTTTTATGAAGTTATAAACAAATTATTGTTAAAATATAAATTATCAATATTTCCTGTATCGGGTTTATGTTTTCTAAGCGCTGATTTTCTTGTTTACTTATCTTCATCATTTTACCCTTTCAATCTATTTGGCAGCAAGTCCGAAAACATCGAAATTGAAGTCATATTATGCATATCCTTTCATGGGTAACGAAGCTGTATTTGTTGTCCAATACCTCCGGCGTTACTTTTTTGCTGCTCTACAACTCTTTACCCATCCGATTTGACCTTTAGACAAATTGTTCCTTCAAAAATGAAGCTATGAAAACTTTTATTTCTGCCCGAAACAACTTTATTTCTTTTTGCCATAATTAAAAATTGTTTATTGCGTTGTTGTTGTTGTTTTATTATCACATTTTTTATTATTTTATGATATGCATAATAAATTAATTTGTGTCGCTTTGTTCAAAAGCGATTCTTAATTGCTTTACATGTTTCCTGTTATTTGTTTAAATATTTGCATATTATGGTTGGTATTCAAAGTACTATAAACGTGCATTTTTTATGGCAATTGAATTTATTTTTGCGAGCGCACAAAAGCAGGCAACACATTTTTCCCAAACCTCACACAACCATTTTTTCCATTTCTCGCCAATTGAGTAAAAAATTGCTTGCGAAACGAAAGACAAGTGACAGTGAATATGCAAAACAATTAATATATTCAATTATTTGCAGCGAGCACAAAAACTTAATAAAGTTAAATTGAACTTTCAAAATAATATACACACACGCTCTTTGTTTATTAATAAATATTTATTAAGTGGGAAAAAGATGCATTCTCGTGGCGATTTCAGAACATTTGAGCCACTTTATTCGCTCGTGAATCATACATATGCACACATATATGCATATATATCTAGTTATATGCATAACTAACAATGTTTATTTAGTGCACAATTGAGCCCATAACTAATCTTTTTGATAGCCATGTCAGAGTGCGACCGAAATAAAAAAACCAATAAAAAGTCCTACATACAGCTAAGAGCAATGCTTATAAACTTGAAATTTTACGTTATCTACACTATGGGCGAAGCGGCATATAATAAAGGCTAGAATTTACAACTTTTCCATGCTAATACATACACAAGAATTTTAAATTCAAGTTAGCCAAAAACAGCCACACTCATAGGCGTTTAATGAAATGTAGGACATTACTGCAAGTTCATGCCTTTTATTAAAAAATGTCTATGGAAATTTCAAAACTTTATAGGCGACATTCCCTAGACACTAGAAAGAGGCCTAGTAACAATCTATTTGCTATAAACAATCGTCCAAAAGTGACAAAATGTAAGGGAATAAGAGGCTTTGATTGTTGCTTTCTAAACTAAAAATGTTTCAGTAATTTCTCTAAGCCACAACCCCTTTAAATTCTTTGATACTTACATATATGCTTGCTTCTGAAAATTAAACTTTGCTTTGGAACTATAAAACGCATTTTTTAAAAACAATTTAGCATTGCTTGTCATTTAAATTTTGAATTACATATTTAAACGTCTATTTCAATGAGAATGGAACTAAAATATGCTAAAGCC